CAAGAGGGGGGGCGCCTGGGTGGCTCAGTTGGTTGAGCGACTGCCTTTGGCTCAGGTCATGATCCTGGAGTCCCAGGATCGAGTCCCGCGTCGGGCTCCCTGCTCAGCGGGGAGTCTGCTTCTCCCTCTGACCCTCCCCTCTCTCGTATGCTCTCTCTCTCTCTCTCTCTCATTCTCGCTCTCTCAAATAAATAAATAAAATCTTTAAAAAAAAAAAAAGAAAGCACAAGAGGGAAGAGGGTCAGAGGGAGAAGCAGACTCCCTGCTGAGCAGGAAGCCCGACGTGGGACTCGATCCCGGGACTCCAGAATCATGACCTGAGCCGAAGGCAGTCGCTTAACCAACTGAGCCACCCAGGCGCCCCGTCAACTTAAATATTTAAATTAAAAATATAAAGCAATAAGATTTTACAAAAAAAATCTACATGACTACATCTAAAATTTAGGGGCAGGGACAACCATATCAAAGAAGATAAGAAAGCAGAAACTATGTAATAATGAAATGGAATTACTTTTTTTTTAAGATTTTATTTTATTATTTATTTGAGAGAGAGAGAATGAGAGATAGAGAGCACGAGAGGGAAGAGGGTCAGAGGGAGAAGCAGACTCCCTGCCGAGCAGGGAGCCTGATGTGGGACTCGATCCTGGGACTCCAGGATCATGACCTGAGCTGAAGGCAGTCGCTTAACCAACTGAGCCACCCAGGCGCCCCGAAATGGAATTACTTGATTAAATACCATGTAAAACTATTTGTGTGATAATATGTTCTATAAACACAATTAATACACAATTAGCACATAATCGATCTAGTAAAAATGTACTTTGCAGATTATAAAATTTGATTGGTTACACAGAAGTAGTAATTCTTATGATTTTCTGAGGAAAGACCAAGGGAAAACTGGGGAAAAGGTATGAAGTTTCAGTTCACGAAGACCAACCCCAAAAGACACAACCTCCTAGAAAAATATTCACATACATTTGGGTGGAGAAATGCAAATTAAAGTAACAATGGCAGGGCGCCTGGGTGGCTCAGTCAGTTAAGCATCTGAATTTGGCTCAGGTCATGATCTTGGGGCCCAAGGGTCCAGCCCTGCGTGCAGCCCCATGTTGGGCTCTGTGTTCAGCCAGAAGTCTGTTTCTCCCTCTCCCTCTGCCTCCTCCCCAACCCCCATGCTCTCTCTCTCTGTCTCTTTCAAATAAATAAAATCTTTAAAAATAATAATAAAATAACAATGCCCTATCACCTTCTACTCGCCAAACTGAGGGAAAGACTGAAATTACTAACGCACACTCCTACTTTGCTGGTAGAACGCTGATTTGTTTCAACCTACCCGGAAATCCATGATCCTTGTCCTCTTCCCTCGTCTCCCTCCCCCTTCTCCGTTTCTCCCAGCCTTCCTTCTCTCCCTCTTTCCTTTCTCTAAAGCAGCATCCCACTCCTGTGAGTCTGAATCTGCCGTAAGAATAAAGAAACAAGAATAAGCTTGCTACAAAGCTGCAATCAGCAAACATCTAGGTTCTTATATACTCGGTAAAAAATATAATGAGGCTACCAATATGGGAGACTGTGGAGTGTAGAAGTGAAAGACCCCAGAGCCAGTTCAAATCTCAGCTCTGCTACTCATCAGATATGTGAAGACTGGCAAGTTATTTAATCTGACAGTGTTGCATTTTCCAGATCAGTGACATGAGGATAACACTGTATCTAACTCATGAGTTTGTTTTGATAATTAAAATAGATCTTAACCCACTGAGGCACCCAGGCACCCCACCCCCATCTACTTCTTTAATGTGAACATGATTTTTCAGTGTGTATCTGTGAAAACAAAGGGTAAATATAGAACTGATGCTGGATCCTGAGTAATTCCAGCAACAAGTAATATTCGAGGGTATATACACAAATAACTGAAAAACATCAGCACCATGCATCTCATTAAGAGACATATACTTAGGAGCGCCAGGCTGGCTCAGTTGGAGGAGCGTGTGACTTTTGATCTTGGAGGCGTGAGTTAGAGGCCCACATTGGGCATAGAGATTACTTAAATAAATAAACTTAAAAAAAAGAGAGAGAGAGATTTAATAAAAATTTACTTCTATGTTAAATATCAAAATTTATAATATATGCTGTTTTGATCAATGTGTACTACTGTTTGTGATAACTCAACCCAAAAGAATTTTATTAACACTTTACATCCTATGGTCACAGGAAATTGAAAACATCAATTCACTGCATATTTCTGTTGAAGAAAATTAGAAAAGCCTGACCAGTAAACATTTGCAACATAACATTGTGTATAAAATTGTAGGGAAAGTAGAATGAAAATTCTACTCATTCAAGGAAGAAAAGTATGTAAAATTTCAAACTGTGAGCTCATCCATGTGTTTGGTTATGTCAAATCACCATAGGATGTAGATTCCACTGGATACATCCTAAAGAATGACTTTCACTTTCAACATTTTTATTTTAAAACGTTTGCATTTAATCATTTGTAACCATTTAAACTTAGGGTGAAACATTTTACATGCCACTTAAAAAATATCTAAGTGGGGGCGCCTGGGTGGCTCAGTCAGTTAAGCGTCTGCTTTCCACTCAGGTCATGATCTCGGGGTCCTGGGACTGAGTCCCGCATCAGGCTCCCTGCTCAGTGGGGAGTCTACTTCTCCCTCTGCCTGCCACTCCCCCTGCTTGTGCTCTGTCTCTCTCTCTCTCTCTGTCAAATAAACAAATAAATTAAAAAAGAGAGAGAGAATTTTTAAAAAATATCTAAGTGGGGTGGGGGTGCCTGGGTAGCTCAGTAGGTTGGGTGTCTGACTCTTGGTTTGAGCTCAGGTTGTCTCAGGTTGTGGAATCGAGCCCCACATCAGGCTCCGTGTTCAGTGTGGAGTCTGTTTGGGGTTCTCTCCTCTCCTTCTCCCTCCCTCTCTGCTCCTCCTGCTCTCTCTCTCTCTCAAATGAAATAAAATCCTTTCAAAAAAATCTAAGTGGGCACCAAATTCAGAGGGATTGAAAGCAAAAATTTTGGAGACTATTATGGTACATGCTGTGGTCAATCAGAACAGTACTGAGAAAGTAGAGGCACCTGGGTGGCTCAGTTGGTTAAGCCTCTAACTCTTGATATCAGCTCAGATCTTGATCTCAGGGTCTTGAATTCAAGTCCCAGGTTGGGCTCCATGTTGGGCTCCATGCTAAGTGTGGAGCCTACTTAAAAAATAAACAAACTAACTAACTAAAAACAGTACTGAGAAAGTATACTGCACCTCCCAGAACTATGTGGCATGTCCTTATTTAAGGCCATTCATCCAGGACTGGGACCTACAGAATTTATGATACCCAATAACCTCTGAACTTTTCCTTTAAAGTTGGTGTGTGTCTGTGTGTGTGTGTGTGTGTGTGTGTGTGTTTAAGATTTTATTTATTTGACAGAGAGAGAGGCAGCGAGAGCAGGAACACAAGCAGGGGGAGTGGGAAAGGGAGAAACAGGCTTCCCGCCAAGCAGGGAACCGGATGTGGGGCTCAATCCCAGGACCCTGGGATCATGACCTGAGCCGAAGGCAGACACTTAACGAATGAGCCACCCAGGAGCCCCAAATGTTGGTGTTTTGAGGGACTTTTGTTCCAAGTGGTAGAAAGAACTATCGTTTAGTGCTCATGGAAAGAGCACTCCATCCCAGGATTCCTCAACTCTACTCAACAAGGCTGAACCTGGCAGATTCCATATAAGGTAACTTTCCACTTTAAGATTCTGTGAGTTAGTATTAGAAACCTTCTAAATTAAAGGTTTCAATAAACTGAATACAGAGTTTTGACTACTGATGAAATAAGTAACAGCATATGAGGCTGTGGCAATTTATAGTACAGTCTACACACCCAAAGCTGTCCTAGATACAACGATTGCTATACAGATAAAAATATAAGAATTCAGTATTTGGGTAGGACACATCTCTACATTGCTAGGTCCAGGTTTGGCAAGAATGACTAAATTCTGGAGTGGTAGTGGACAGTACATACCACCCTTAAAAAACTGAAATAGAAATTCACGAGATTTAAGCATGACATAATTTGGAGTTGGAAGAAATAGGTATGAGTTGTGACCACATTCCTAACTTCAGAGTTCCCTTCCTTCAGGGTGCCTGGCTGGCTCAGTGAGTGGCGTGTGTGACTCTTGATGTCCAGGTTGTGGGTTCGAGCCTCCCATTGCGTGTAGAGTTCACTCAAAAATAATAAAAAAAATCTTTAAAAACAAAGATCACTCTCTTCTGCTGCCAGGCATCTCAGCCTTGAAAAGACATTTCCTCCCTCACCCAACCACTCCCATACACGTCGTAATTTCATTATCAACCAACTGGAAATAAAAAATATCTCGTCCAGCCTGTTTCTCACAGCAACTATGGGAGTCCCAGCAGGTAAAGTGGACATACTAATTTGCAAACTTTTGAGTAGGAAAAGGGTTATATTATTTATTATTTGTTTTTTACTCAGGGAGGGTCTTGGGCAGAAATTACCTAGATATATAATTTGCCTGGAAAATGTATCAAAACCATATAAATAATGTCAACTGCCTTGTACTATAATATTTTCAATAATGCAAGTAAGCTGTTGGTAAATACTCTATGGTTTTCCCTTCAATACTGATATTGATTACTAAATATTAACACCAAAGTAATAATATGGAAGATTAAGAAAGGATTAAGAAATGTTGTTTTGTTCCTTCCTGTCTTTTATTGTCTGTTGATTTAACACGTGTCACTGAACTTCCTAGTGACTGCCCTTCTTACCTCAGAGATAAATACCAACTTTTAAACATTTAATCGCAAAGTTCTTGGTGCCTATTCTTTATCAAATGATCCCCTGCAGATAGTCTTTACTAGCTCTTTTCCTGGCATCTTCTAAAATTCCATTTTGAGATCATTTTCTTCTAATGTCCAATTGTTCTAGAGAAATAAATGAAGCCACTTAATTGCATCAGACAAAATTCATTCCAAATGGCCTGGGGAAAGAACATACTTGAAGGATTTAGACTTCATTTCCTGGTCAGTGTGGGATCTCTGTGAGAATGCGTACTTCACATGGAACTTGCTCTCTCCTACCATCAAAGGCTGCGTATTTTCATAGCTCTTCTGCCACCATGAAGGAGGTTTTCTCGAATGCCGCCCTTGTCCTGGCCATCTCTGTGTGGGCTGCCCTTGCAGTTGGTGAGTTATGTATCCTTGCTCTGCCCACGTTGCCTGGGGTATATCCAGTATTACAGGAAAAGCAGAGGCAGGAGTGGAAGTGCTGTTCAGTTTTGTTTAATACTAATTCCTTTATGTTACAGATGTAGAAACTGAAACCCAGAGGAAGAGAGGATTCCCTCAATGTCATTGGTATCAAAGCTGGGAGTCAAATCCAGACCTTCCAAACCCAGGACCACGAACTTTCCAAAATACCTGATTACTATCGAGGCATTCAAGCCTTAAAAACATTCATTTCCAGAATCTGTATATTTACATTTCTCAAACCCCAAAGGGAGTATCAGGCAGGACAGCAAAGCAGAGACTGCCAGGAGGTGGTGGTGAGGGGCTATAGTTATATGGCGGAATGAGGAAGTATGGGGACTTACGGAATTTTCCCTTTTTTTGGTAATCTGAGGAACTGTGCGTGGCTGTAATTGGTCAGTTAGGGCCTATGGCTATTTCATGTGGATTGCTTCACGAGCCTGTTTGTGTTAACTTGGTTGTCGGTGGTCACTGTGGGCCCTCTTGCCTTCTTCAGATTTCTATTGCTCAAGCCTGTTGCCTAAAAGCAGCCTCTACACTCAACAGCTCCCGTTTCCATCTGGACTCTGAAATTCTCATTTACTTTCAATTTTTTACTTTCTATTGGTGCTTTCTCTCACTTAAAACATTTTTTTCACATCTTAAGAGGCTCTGTAACAAATTGAAAACTGTTCTTCCTGCCTCTAATATCTTATGGGGAAAACCCCTTTTCTTCTTCTACTGAAGAAAAAACTGTTTCTTTCTACTCCAACACGTCTGACACCAAATGTGTGGGTTTTCCACACCAAGCAATCTTCCCATTTTCTGTGGATACCAACTGGGTATCCCACAACTTAATATAATTATGGCACTTCTATCTGGCATCCATCCAAACACCACAGTTAAGGACTCAGTCCCACAAGACTGCCCCTACTTGGGACAGCAGTCACAAGACTGGGCCTCCAGTACTTCTAACCAACGAGCTATAAGTCAGGAGTTCCCCTGACCCCCTCCTCAGGTTCAGTAATTTGCTAGAATGGCTCACAGAGCTCAGGACAGTGCTTTACTTACTGTTACCAGTTTATTGTAAAGGACACAACTCAGGAACAGCCAAATGGATGCATAGGGCAAGGTATGTGGAAAGGGGCAGAGAGCTTCTATGCCCTCTCTGAGCATACCACCCTCCCAGCACCTCAGTGTGTTCAACCTGGAAGCTCTCCAAACCTTTTGGTTTAGGATTTTTATGGAGGTTCCATTATAACAGTGTCAACTGAGAAAAAGAGGCAAAACTGAAAAAGACTTCTATCTGAGGTCTCGGAATTGCCATTTGGCAAGCACAGTTTCCAGAGTAACCAGAAAAGTGTCCTGCTCACATGGGAAAGCAAGAGGGGTTTTATGAGAAAGAAAGAGGGTAACTACAGGATATAAAGAGGAGAAAAGAACTGAATTCAGTGCTAACCAGTTGAGCTGCTTTTGGTGACTACCTAGTCGATTATTTTATAGGTGCTATCAAACAAAACTCCTCCTGGAATGCATTAGTCAATGTTTCTGTCTTCATAAAGGTCATGTCAACAGTTTTATGGTCTGAGGACCTGTTGTTCTGTTGGATTTTACAAGCAACTGTTTGTAATACAATGACCCCTTCCGGCCCAGTTCAAGAGTTCATTACTTAGAAAGGAAAATAGAGCTTCAAAATGGAACCTCTCCTGTCTAAATATTTTATACAATTCCACAAAGGCACTCATGATTAAATCATGGGCCACTGACGATTAATTTAATCTCTACCTTCTGATGGGATCTGTTGCTTCCCGTGTGCCAAGCAGGGTCTCCCTCACCCTAGCTTTTTTTCCCTAAGGTCAGAAGACAGAGCAGCAACTCTTCCGAATGTGTTTTTGTCTTCCAGATTTCCCTCTTCCTACAGGCACAGGGGCTCGCCTACAAGAGACAAAGGTGAGCTCTACTTCTTGGTTCCCAAGAATAATGGGGAGTAAGCCAGTTTCCTGGATAGTCCCCAGAGCTTTCTTCTGAGAGGTGGGGGCAGAGGGGACTTGTGTGGGAATAACACCACAGTAAAAGCTGGGTCATCAACTGTGTGTAGCACATTTCATATGTTCCTGAGCCCTCTTCCCATGCATTATTCCAATCAGTTCATACTCTCTTGTGGGATAGAATCCAAGTATTTTGAACCATTAAATGGATGATGAAGTCATGGCTCAATTCAGGTCAGTCCTGTGCTGCAGTGGACATTATTTCAGCCGAGATAGGCTAAAATGTACATCCTGCCTCCCCCACACTAAAGCCCCACAAATATTCTCTCTGTCCCCTTCCTTCTACACCCTACCTCTGCTGTGATAAATTTGACATCACTGCTGTCTGAAGCACCACACACAAGTCACTCAGTAATGTTCATAAGAAAAGTCTAACCTTCAGGACATGTTCCTTTCTGTAATCTAACAATCACATTTTGTGGTTGGTAGGGCAGGGATTTTCATCCAGAGGAACTTACATCTTAGACTGGGGAGTTCACAGATTATATGTTACATTATAGTATATATTATATTATTGTCATATTGTTGGGTACGTTCCAGGGGTCAAACCCCAAAGCTGCTAAAGACTGTTCCCTGGATGCTTGGTCTAGCATTCCTTCTTCAAGCCCCCTATCCCACTACCAGTGACAATGGCCAGAGGTCCTGGAGGAAGGCATCTGAAGCAGTAATCTGTGTCTCATTTTCAGGCGGAGTGCACTAGGAATATAAATAAGTGCTGGATTTTCTCTTACATCAAGCCAAGTGAACCCATATGTGGCAGTGACCAGGTTACTTACAGTGGTGAATGCCATCTCTGCTCCCAAATCCTGTAAGTCTTTTTATTCTTTCTCCCAGTCAGGAGGCTAAAGGTAGCCAAGATAGGAGTAACCTCTTCAGAACGCTTCCTACTGGTTAGATCTTCTCTCCAGTGACTCCTCCATGATCTGTTCCTCCATTTCTTCCATCTTCCCTTATGCTCTCAGAAGTGATCCCATTCACACAATTACAGAAACAGAAACCCATTGAGTCTAGAGTGTTCTGTCTGGCCTGGACAAGTATCAAGTGGAAAGTTCTCAGCAGCAACAAGCCACAGCATTCAGATCATGTGACTGCAGATGAGGGTTACCCTCCAGCCCCTCAAGCCAAAGAACAAAAGCCTGATGAAGAAGAGGAAGAGGTGCCGGGTGAAGAATCTTCCCAGCTGTCGCTTTATTGATCCTTGAATCGGTATTATCCTCTCAAACGACTTTCTTTAGCTTCCAACTTTCTTTTAGCTTTCACACTTTAGCTTTCACGGCTTAGTCTTTGGGCATGAAGTGGCCAATGCTTTGGTCCAAGAGGAACAGCAAGGTACAGAGGTTTTCATCAAGGAGGCTGCCTTACAGAGTTTGGAGGAGGATTCCCTGACATCTGCTTTCTCCTTTAAGGAAAAAGCAACACCCTTGGATGACTAAATTTTAGAGATTAAGTCCAATATTTCAAGAGAGAGAAAAGCAGACTGGATGTGTAGATAAAATTTTCTTTCTCTCCTTCCTCTTGTCTTCTCCTTAAAAGAAGAAATAATAATCCTGGTCACGGGGGCACCTGGGTGGCTCAGTCAGTTAAGCGACTGCCTTCGGCTCAGGTCATGATCCCAGGGTCCTGGGATTGAGCCCCACATCCGGCTCCCTGCTCGGCGGGAGGCCAGCTTCCCCCTCTCCCGCTCCCACTGCTTGTGTTCCTGCTCTCACTGTGTGTGTCTCTCTCTCTGTCAATTAAATAAATAAAATCTTTAAAAAAATAAAAAAATAAAATAAGAAATATTGTTTAAAATAATCCTGGTCACAGTAAGAGATGTCAAGCTGGGCAGGATTGGACTTTCCTGCATGCCTTGCTGCATAAATACCAAAATTTACAGAACCCATAAAAAACTTGTGAGGTGAACAACTTTAGTGTCAGCCTCCATCACCGGTACAGACAGCTGACAATCAGAATGTACAGTCTGGGGAATTTAGAACATCACAGACCCATAGAAGGCTAAAACCAGGAGATACTTGAGAGACAGATGACTTTCAAAGAACTCACACTGACTAGTATTTTCTGAAATATATTCTTAGTAGTTAATAGGGGAATGAAAGGATTTTAATGTATAATAATCTAGTTTGGACTGATACCACATTAATTACCAAAGTATTTTTAAAAACTTTGCTCCTGATAGCTCCATTCTATCCCCTCCTTTGTATATTATCATGCAAATTACACCTTCATACATGGATGCCCATCAATATAGATTTGTAATTATTGCTATTTTATTACATAAAATTTATGTAGTTGCCTTTTCAATCAGAGAGGAGAAAAAATTATAGACAAAACATACATTTATACTATCTTTTCTTTTTCCCTATATAGTTACCTTTACTGGTTCTCTTTGTTTCTTCATGTGGATTTGAGGTTCTGTCTAGTGTCTTTTCACTTCAGCCTGAAGGACTGTCTTTAGTATTTTGAAGCAACAAGTTCTCATTTGGGTTGTTTCCTCATTTTAGCTACTGTGAATAGTGCTGCTATGAACATTTATGTAAAGGTATGTACTTGAGCACCTGTTTTCAATGTTTGGGGTATAAACTTAGGAGTGGAATTTGCTGGGTCCTATAGTAATTATATGTGTAACTTACTGAGAAACCACCAAATGTTTCCCACAGGGACTGGACCATTTTAAATTCCTGCCAGCAACATTGAGGGTTCCAATTTCCTCACATTCTCCCCAACGTTTTTTAATATCCATCCTGTGGATGTGAAATGATATCTCATTATGGTTTTAATCTACATTTCCCTAATGACTAATGATGTTAAGCATCTTCATGTACTCGTTGGCCATCTGTATACCTTCTCTGGAGACATGTCTATTTGAGTCTTTTGCCCCATTTTTAAAAAAGATTTTATTTATTTGAGAGAGAGAGAGAGCGAGAAACAGCATGAGAGGGGAGAGGGTCAGAGGGAGAAGCAGGCTCCCCACTGAGCCAGGAGCCCGATGTGGGACTCGATCCCAGAACTCTGGGATCATGACCTGAGCCGAAGGCAGACGGTTAACGACTGAGCTACCCAGGTGCCCATTTTTTTTACTTCATTCTGTCTTTTTATTTTTGAACTGTAAGAGTTCTCTATATATTCTTAATACTAAATATTATAATTTGTAAATATATTCTCCCATTCTGTAGACTATCTTCCACTTTCCTGATAATGTATTTTGATGCACAAAGTTTTGAATTTTGATCAAGTCCAATGTATATATATATATTTTTTTTTTCCTGCTGCTTCTCCTGCTTTCAGTGTCATACCTAAGGAGCCTCTGTAAAATCCAAGGGCATGAAGACTTACCCCTATGTTTTCTTCTAAGAGTTTTATAGTCTTGGCTATTACATTTAGGTTGTAGGGATGCCTGGGTGGCTCAGTCAGTTAAGCATCTGCCTTCAACTCAGGTCATGGTCCCAGGGTCCTGGGATCCAGTCCCACTGGCCTCCCTGCTCAGGGGGGAGCCTGCTTCTCCCTCACCTTCTGCTGTTCCCCCTGCTTGTGCTTTATCTCTCTCTCTGTCAAATAAATAAATAAAATCTTTTTTTTAAGAATTTTTTGATTTATTCATTTGAGACAGCGAGATACAGAGAGAGAGAGAGCAGGAGCAGTGGGGAGAGGGAGAGGAAGAGGGAGAAGCAGACTCCCTGCTGAGCAGGGAGCCCGACGTGGGGCTTGATCCCAGGACCTGGAGATCATGACCTGAGCTGAAGGCGGACGCTTAACCATCTGTGCCACCCAGGCGCCCCAATAAATAAAATCTTTAAAAAAAATTTAGGTTGTAGATCTATTTTTGAGTTAATTTTTGTTATGGTGTGAGACAGAGGTCCAGCTTCATTCTTTTGCATGTGATTATCTAGTCGTCCCAGCACCATTTGTTGAAAAGACTATTCCTTCTATCACTGAAAGGCCTTGGCACCCTTGTCAAAAATCAATTTGTCATAGATGTTTGAATTTATCCTGCACTCTCAATCTCATTCCATTGTTCTTTAGGTCTATCCTAATGCCAGTGCCACACAGTTTCTGTATCATGGTAGTAAGTTTTTGAAATTGGGATTTTGGGGTTCTCCAACTTTTCTTTTTTTCAATGTTCTGGCCACGCAGGACCTCTTGCAACTCCATATGAATTTGAAAGTAAGCTTTTCCATTTCTACAAAAAAAAAAAATGCCATTGGTATTTGGATAGGGATTACATGGACTTTGTAGATTGCTTTCGGTAGTATGGACATTTCAACAACATTAAGTCTTCCAGTCCATGAGCATGGGAGAGTTTCCATTTATCAGGACTTCATTAATTTCTTTCAGAACTATTTTTTAGTTTTCAGTGTACAAGTCTTTCGCCTCCTGAGCTACATTTATTCAGAAGTATTTTAATTTTTTGGATGCTATTGTAAATGGGATTGTTGTTGTTTCTTTGTTTTTTAAGTAGGCTCCATGCCCAGCATGGGACTTGAACTTACGACCTCAGGAGAGTTGCATGCTCTACCAACTAAGCCAACCAGACTCCCCCGTAAATGGAATTTTTTTTTAAATTTTTTTTTAGAGATTTTATTTATTTCAGACAGAGAGCGAGAGCATGAGCGGGGGTGGGGGGTATAGGAGCAGAGGGAGAAGCAGACTCCCCACTGAACAGGGAGCCCGACGCAGGGCTCAATCCCAGGACAATGACCTGAGCCGAAGGCAGATGCTTAACCAACTTGAGCCAGCCAGGCGCCCCTGGAATTGTTTTATTAATTTTATTTTCAGCCTATTCACTGTTGCTATATAGAAACACAACTGATTTTCATGTGTTGATCTGTACCCTGAAACAGTGCTGAATTTATTAGCTTTAGTAGTTTTTATATGAATTCTTTGGGATTTTCTATATGTAGAATCATGTCATCTTCAAATAGAGATAGTTTTACTTCTTCCTTTCCAATTTGGATCTCTCCCCCTACCCCAGCTTTATTGAGGTAAAATTGACAAATGAAATTTTGGATGCCTTTAATTTCTTTTTCTTGCCCTGGTTAGAACTTTCAGCATAATGTTGAATATTGATGGTGAAAATGGGTATCTTTGTCTTGTTTCTGATCTTAGAAAGAAATCTTTCAGTCTTTCACCATTGAGTATGATATTGCTGTGGGTTTTTCGTAAGTGTTGTTTATCATGTCAAGGAAGGTCCCTTCTATTCCTTGTTTCTGAGTGTTTTTATTATGAAAAGGTGTTGAATTTTGTCAAATAAGGGATTTTTTTTAATATAAATTGAGATGAACATGAGCTTTTTACCTCCTTCATTCTATTAATGTGATGCTATTGCATTGGTTGATATTTTTGGGTTGAACCACCCTGCATTCTTGGGATAAATCCTGGTCACAGTGTATAATTCTTTTAATATGCTGTTGGGTTCAGCTTGCTATAGTTTAGTTGCGAATTTTTACATCTATATTCATAAGGGATTTGGTCTATAGTTGTGTGTGTGTGTGTGTGGTGTGTGTGTGTGGTGGTGGTGGTGTGTGTGGTGTGTGTGTGTGTGGTGGTGTGTGTGTGTGGTGGTGGTGGTGGTGGTGGTGGTGGTGTGTGTGTGTGTGTGTGTGTGTGTGTGTGTGATGTTTTTGTCTTTGCTATCATGGTAATTCTGGCTTCATAGAATGATTAGCACGTGTTTTTTCCTCCTCCATTACTTGAGTTTGAAAAGGATTGGTATTTGCTCTTAAATGTTTGGTAGTGTTCGCTAATGAAGAAGATACCTGGTCCTGAACTTTTCTTTATTAAGAGGTTTTTTATTACTGATTCAATCTCTTTACTTGATACAGGTCTGTTGAGATTTCCTATTTCTTCTTGAGTCAGTGTGTTTCAATAATTTGTCCATATTTCTTCTAATTTGTGTTTTTCTAGGGATTTGTCCATTTCATCTAGATTATCTAACTGTTGACATAACAATTGTTCATAGTATTCCTTTATAATCATTTTTATTTCTGTAAGGTCAGTAGTAATGTCTTAGTCTTATCTTTCATCAAATTCATACTTTAATTTTATTGCATATTCTTTTTATGATACTCTGGATTTCTACTTAAATATTCAAGATTATTTTTAATTTTCTATATTTAAGGCTGAGTATGTTTCACATATCAAATATCTTTGACAAATAAAGATCTATAACAATAGGGATTTTTAAATATTTGCTACATAAGAATTCACTATAAGCAGTGTTTTTCCTTCTCAAACTTAGCTAAAGATTATCAAGTGAAATTTAGTCATAATTTATAATATGCCATAAAGCAAAAATAACCATTTCAAAATATAATTTCTTTCAGATACAAAGGGCTTAACATAACTAAACTGTACGATGGACCATGTGTAAGTAAAGTCACTCTCATTTTTCATTTTTAGGAGTAAACCAGATATACTGATATGTTGTAGAGAGCTTTAAATGTTTTGCTATAAAAAATTTCAAACATAAAACTAGATACAATATAATATCATATGCCTATCATACCAATCCAACAAAGTATAAAGTGTTTGCCACATTTCCTTCATTATTCTTTTTTTTTTTTTTGTCTAAATATATTAACGCACGTCTTAGACATCAGGTCATTTTACTAAGAAGTGTGGACATTTCCTTACATGCCCACAATGCTGTAATCACACCTAATTAGTACCCTGTCATCTTCTAATATGTATTTCATGTTCAAATTTTCCGAGCCATCTCAAATATAATATCTTCTGGGGAAATAAAGTATTTCCGCCTAATAATTCAGTAGTTAAGAACATCCAGTCCACCTTTCTGTTCCCTGCCATACCCAATTTCTGGGATATTTTTTTTAAAGATTTATTTGAGAGAGAGAGAGCGAGCATGCACGAGCAGAGGGGAGGAGCAGAGCGAAAAGCAGACTCCCCACTGAGCAGGGGACACTCGATCCCAGGACCCTGGGATCATGACCTAAGCCGAAGGCAGACACTTAACTGAGCCACCCAGGCTCCCCCCCCAATTTCTGGTATATTGATAAAAGACACTAACTGGAACATGAAAGGTTATTCAGAGAGTGAATGGACCAGGTCTTGCTTAGCTCTGGCCTAGATATTGTGTCTTTGACTTCAGGGTCATAGGGCCAAAGCAAGAACTCAGCTGATGCCATAAAGATCATTGTAGAGTTATGAAGCACAGAAACAAGACTGGGGAAAGTCATCTTGGAACAAAATATAAAAAACGTGGAAGGTAAAGCAGGTAAAAAAGAAATTATATACTTTGGTAATAATTTTATGACAATATCTTCTGACACAATCTCAACAAGTTGACAAGACTCAAATGATGTATAGACCAGCATACATATTACTCACTTGGGGAAGGTCTATAACCTGAAAGTTCTCTAGTTCTACTAGAGAGAAATATAAAGACTTTTAGGCACTTCCATGATTTGGGGTAACTATAAAGAGACCTTACATTTCCTCTACCTCTGTCAGATGCCTTTGCCTGGGCTAATTCATAAAAAATCCTGCTGAATCCCCTTCTCTTATATCTGGACCATAGCCCTTTCCAATTAAACTTCTGGTCTTATGTCTTTTTCAAGTTTGTAACTTCAAAGAGATGCTTTTAATCTTAAGGATATCAATAAGATGGTGTCTGAAAGCTTTCTGCTGGCAGAATTTCTTTTCACTCAGAAAGGCTGGTCTTTTGTTTCAATAAGACCTTCAGCTGATTGGATGAGGTCCACCCACACTGTGGCAGGTAATCCTGGATTAAATGTTAAATGTCTTTTTAATTGAGTTTTTTTAATTCTAATATAGTTTATACACAGTATTATATTAGTTTCAGGTGTACAATATAGTGATTCAACAATTCTATACATTACTCAGTGTTCATCATAAGCGTACTCCTTAATTCCCATTAGCTATTTCACCCATCGCCCCCACTCACCTTCCCTGTGGTAACCATCAGTTTGTTCTCTAGAGTTAATGGGGGTACCTGGGTGGCTCAGTCAGTTAAGCATCTGCCTTCAGCTTAGGTCATGATCCCAGAGTCCCAGGATCAAGCCCCACATCAGGCTCCCCACTCAGCGGGGTGTCTGCTTTTCCCTCTGGCCCTCCCCCCCTCATGCTCTCTCTCTCTCTCAAATAAATAAAATCTTTAAAAAAAAAGTCTGTTTCTTGTTTGTCTTTTTTTCCTTTGCTCATTTGTTTCGTTTCTTAAATTCCACAGATGAGTGAAATCATATGGTATGTGTCTTTCTCTGACTTATTTTGCTTAACATAATACCCTCTAGTTCTATGTCATTGCAAATGGCAAGATTTCATTTTTTTTTTTAAGATTTTATTTATTTGACAGAGAGAGAGACAGCAGGAGAGGGAACACAAGCAGGGGGAACGGGAGAGGGAGAAGCAGGCTCCTGGCTGAGAAGGGAGCAGGGTGGGCTTAGCCACAAACTATTAACACTATTAAGGGGATTCTGAAATTGTGCTGGAGGCAAGATCAGTCCACAAAATCAGTAAGAGTTCTTTACAGCAGTAACACCTAATTAAAAAATAAAAAATAATACATCACTCAAAATAGAAACAAAAACTATGAAGTATCTGGAAATTAACTATAAAGAATAAAAATACTCAGGGCTTCCAAAGAAAAAAACTTTAAAACTCTAAGGGTATTTAAAATCATATGAATAACAGAGAGACCGTCCATGCTCCTAGATTATAACTTAAGTAATATGATTGTTAGTTTTTTCTAAACTATTCTAAAAATTCATTTCATTCCCAATCAATATTTCAGTTGGGTTGAAGATCTCTGATAAATAAAGGACACTATGGTAAGTTAGCAGACAGCTGACAGAACCAGAGGATATTTGCCATTCCTAAAAACAATAAGCTAATATTGAGAATGTGTGTCTAAATAAGCAGCAAGAAAATATACAGCAAACCAACAGGAAAATAGGCAGAGGCTATGGTTTTATACAAGAAAGATAAAATCTAATTAGCATAAGAAAGATGTTCAGAAGCTCGTGAATAACCAGACGGGTTCAAATTGAAACAAGATACCAATTTGCACTTGTTATACGAGTAAAAATCAGAAAGCTGGGTCATGTCCAATGCTGTACTCTCATGACATGTAATAAGAGTGAAGACTGTCCTAGCCACTCTTTTTTTTTTTTTTTTAAGATTTTATTTATTAGAGAGACAGCAGGAGCAGAGGGAGAGGGAGAGGGAGAAGCAGATGCCCTGCTGAGCAGGGAGCCCAATGTGGGGCTTGATCCCAAGACCCTGGGATCATGACCTGAGCCGAAGGCAGGTGCTTAACCGACTGAGCCACCCAGGCACCCCTGTTACAGCCACTCTTGAGGAGCAATCGACCACTTCCTAGGCAAAGTAAGAAATTAAATACACGCATATCTAGCGGGCCAGCATTTCCAAACCTAGGAAATCACAAAGCAATTCTCTCATAGCTTTGTAAAGTGACATACATGTTTATTGCAGTATTATTTGTGGTGGCAGGTGGCCATTTTGAGGGCAGCCTGGGTGAGACTAGTCCAGAAATCAACTAGTAAACTGTGGAAGGTGTCTTCATAGAGGTCCATGCAGCTTTCAGAATAAAACAGATGTACATTTTGGCAATGTGAGTAGATCTCACAATACTGCACTGAGCGAAAAAGAGAATAATTCAAGTACCTCACTACCATTATGTAAACTAAAATTAACCACAAACAGTACATATTTTATGCAAACACATAAATAAAAAGAGACATACTGAACTCATTAAAATGTTTGGCTGTAATGTGAGGAGAAAGGGAATAAATGAATAAATGAATGAATGAATGAATAGTGGCCCCTCCCCACAGCCCTTTACCAAAGCACGGTGGAAACTGTTTTCGACAAGATCGAAAAGAAAATAACAATATCCTTGGTGGGAGGACTAACAGTTATCACTTATCGACTGCTAGCTGTGTACCTTGTCCTGGGTCCCATGCTTTGCCTATATCTCCTCCCCCATGTTTCTACAGCCCTCACCATGAGGCAGGTGTTGCTATTAGCTACATTTCATATTGAAAGATGGAGAGGTCTACAGAGGCATGTGACTTGCCCAAGGCCACACAGCTAGGAATGGGCAGGGCTGAGTCCTGAACCTGGCTGGTCAGCCTCCAGACCCTGTTAATAGCACTTTCTATGCTGCCCATGGCACCTCAGAGGCCTCTGACCAGATTCTACTTCACCAATGTCACTGCCTCTATCCTCCACCTTTCTGCCCCCTGGCTCTCCTGGGGTTCAAAGACTCACATAGCCATCTGCATCCTTAGCTCTCCTCTTCTCTTCCCACTTCCACTCTGTGCTCCTGTTCTTCATTGACATTAGAATGTCTCTAGTCTGCCTTAATTCACAGAATAATGGTTTAGCCATTCCTCCTGCAGGACTGTGGGTGTAGTTATCAATGTGGTAGTTTTTCTCTTAACTTTCCCAAATTTGATTTCTCTAAGCCAATACTTCCCTTGCAGGAAAACTCCTGAACTTACCGTGAAGAATTATAGAACTTGCTGAATCCCCCGATGATCAAGGGAAACTTAATGGTTGTCACTTCCAGTATCATCCCCTGTGTAGGAGAATGCTGATGCTGGAGGAAACCAATGGTTAGAGGATCAAACTCCTTGATGTTTGCTTCTTCAATAAATGATTCTCAGTAGAAATTCTGGCTGGCAAATATTTCTCTTCATTAATCAGAATCTGTTAAAAATATCAACTATTCTGTGTTCGCGTCCCAAAACTACAGGACTTATGCCATAGATTCTCTCTGTTCTCATACAGATTGTGAGCAAATGACCCCAGAAATCTAAACGATGGGACAGGTGCCTCAAGAGCAGCTAAAGATACAACTCGAGGGCTCGGGTCATTATGGAGCTGAATATGCGTCATGTGAGTGACACAGATTTCAATACACCAGGATCTGGTTTCAGCAATTTCAACCATACCATAAAAGAGAGACTTTTATCCAAAGAAAACATATTGGGCACAAATACTGCCTGGCCACAGTATGGTTTCTAAATACTATACAAGCACTAACTTACTTAAGCCTCACTACAAACTTAAGAAGTACATCCTCATTTTACAGACAAAGGAATGGAGGCTTAGAGAGTTGCACACAATTCCACACTGAGGATTCTACTAGAACAAACTGCATAGATCCTTATATAGAACATACAGTAATGGTCCTAGGGAAACACATATATACATGTACACATTAAACTGAGAAAGGATGAGGAAATACATGCTTGTGTTAATATATGTTTATTTCTTAACATGCTTTAATGCTTTTCCGCTTTCCCAAAATTATAAGTTGCAGACTAATGATATCACTTAAGACTAAGGACATTTACTCGACACAATCTAGAAGTTATAGTCATTTGCTCCAATTTCTTGTCACTTCTTAGGACACAGCATAAAAAGAATGAAAAGAATAGAATGAGATTCTTATCAGAAGTTCTGAAATGAACCCCAGGCAACATGCAGTAAGAATGAAAAGCCTCCCAAACTCAGAAATTCTGATGCAAAACTAGAATTAGGAACCATTGGACTCAATTGTCTTCTTGAGGTCCCATGCAACAAGAGTCCTACAAAAAAAAAAAAAAAAAAAAAACAAGAGTCCTACAATTCTAAAGAGAAAATTGCTTATATCTGATGGCACTGGGTGGTTAGTGTAAACATGTCTTTTCCTCAGATATGAGAGACCAGACAATGTCTATAGAAATAAAAGAAGTGGACAGAGATTTAATATGAAGATAAAATTGTTTAAGATGCAAAGAGGGGATGGGCACCTGGGTGGCTCAGTTGGTTAAGCGACTGCCTTCGGCTCAGGTCATGATCCTGGAGTCCTGGGATCGAGTCCCACATCGGGCTCCCTGCTCAGTGGGGAGTCTGCTTCTTCCTCTGACCCTCTTCCCTCTCGTGCTATCTCTCATTCTCTCTCTCTCAAATAAATAAATAAAATCTTTAAAAAAAAAAAAAGATGCATAGAGGGGGCACCTGGGTGGTTCAGTCATTAAGTGTCCGCTTTCAGCTCAGGTTATGACCCCAGGGTCCTGGGATCGAGCCCCACATCCGGCTCCCTGCTCAGCAGGAAGCCTGCTTCTCCCTCTCCCACTCCTCCTGCTTGTGTTCCCTCTCTCGCTGTGTCTCTGTCAAATAAATAAATAAAATATTAAAAAAAAAAAAGACGCAAAGAGGAGGGGCGCCTGAGTGGCTCGGTCAGTTAAGCACCAAACTCTTGGTTTCAGCTCAGGTCATGATCTCAGGGTTGTGGGATCGAGCCCCGCATCACACTCTGTGCTCAGTGTGGAGTCTGCTTCAGATTCTCTCTCCCTCTCTCTCTCTCTCTCAAATAAATAAATAAATAAATCTTTTTTTAAAAAAGAGGCAAAGAGGAGATGAGATTAAGGGACAAAGTAGAAACCTCCCCTGAATTCATGTTAGTGGGCTTGAATCTGTTCCAACATGCCCCGAACACATGCATAAAATGACATCTGTATGATAATACCACCACAAAGGAGAAGGTGGATGGAATTACACAGAAGCAAACTTTTATACAGCATTAAAATTAAGTTGAGGGGCACCTGGGTGGCTCAGTCGTTAAGCATCTGCCTTTGGCTCAGGTCATGATCCCAGGATCCTGGGATCAAGCCCCGCATCAGCCTCCCTGCTCTGCGGGAAGCCTGCTTCTCCCTCTCCCAGTCCCCCTGCTTGTGTTCCCTCTCTCGCTGTGTCTCTCTCTGTCAAATAAATAAATAAAATCTTAAAAAAAAATTAAGTTGGAATTAACATGAACTAAATTCTTATATGTTAAGATGTTAATTGTAATCCCCAGGGCAATCATTAAGGAAATAACTAAAAAATCTAATAAAAGAGGGGCACCTCAGTGGCTCAGTCAGTTGAGCATCCAACTCTTGATTTCAGCTCAGGTCATGATCTCAGGGTCATGGGATTAAGCCCCATGTTGGGCTCCGTGCTAAGTGTGGATCTTGCTTGAGATTCTCTCCCTCTGCCCCTCCCACTCACACATGCGCACACACACTCTCTCACCCCAAATAAAAAAGTAAAAGAAATGACAGGGGAATTAAAACAGTACTCTGAAAAATATTTAACACACAAGAAAAGGCAACAACAGAGAAACAGAGGAACAAAAAAGACATAAGACAAATAGAAAACAAATTACAAAATTACAGAGGACAATTCTACCTTATCCACAACTACATAAATGGATTAAACATTAAAATCAAAAGCAGAGATTGACAGAATGAATAAAAACATGATCCAATTAGATGCCAGCTACAAGAGACACATTTTGGATTCTAAGACACAAATAGATTGAAAATAAAAGGATGAAAAAAGACTCATACAAAACAGTAACAAAAAGAAACCTGATATGGCTATACTAATATCAAACAAAGTAGAATTTATCCAAAAATTGTTACCAGAGACAGAGGATATTTTATAATGATCAAAGAGTCAATCCAGCAAGAAGACATATAAACATTTTTGCAACTAAAAATAGAGCCCCAAAATACATGAGGCAAATTAAAGAGATAAATAGACAATTCCACAATAACAGCTGGAGGTTTCAACATTCCATTTTCAGTCCTGGAGAGAGGAACTAAGCAGAAGATCCAAAGTAAAAGAGAAGACTGGAGTAACTATCCCTGTACAGACATCACAGACCTAACTAGACATCTATAGAACGCTTCATCCAACAACAGCAGAATTACACATATTTCTCAAGTGCACATGAAATATTCTCCAGGATAAACCACATCCTGGACCATTAAAAATGTTCAATAAATTTGAAAGGATTGAAATCATACTAAATATATTCTCTAATCACAATGGACTAAAATTAGAAATCAATAGCAGAAGGAAATACCTAAGAAATACCTAACAAAACTATTGGCAAATACCTAACAAACCTAGGTACATACTTCGCTTCCAAGCCAGTAATCTCACTCCTAGGAATCTACTACTCTGAAGACACACCTCTATACAAAAATATATAGTGCAAGGTTATTCACCGAAGCATTGTTATTGCAAATAATTGAGAACAACCCAAATGGGGCGCCTGGGTAGCTCAGTCGTTAGGCATCTGCCTTCGGCTCAGGTCAGGATCCCAGGGTCCTGGGATCCAGCCCCGCATCAGGCTCCCAGGGTAAACCAGAAACAAAAAAGAATGGTTCCCTGTAGGGAGTAGGTGGGGAAATGATGGAAAGAAATAGGGAAGGGGAACAAGATAGCAGGAATGAGGGGGGAGCAGCACTTCTCTGAGCACATCTTTTGGTACAGCTCCCTTGAAACCACAGTTATGTTTCACATACACAAACATAAACAATTAAAACCAACCAGGATGTGGGGGGACTCAAGATGGAATACAAACACTAAGGATTGCACTAGCTGTGTTTTAAATTGCAGAACCACACTGAAGGGGGTAGGGAAGAAAATAACCAAGCTAAGTAATTTTATGGAACAGTATCTTGACTGGCTACGGTAAGGCTAAAGACAAGAACTCTACATAAATGCTATAATCCAGTTGGTAATTGTTGAGGGAGATGCTGGATTTTGTGGGGGACATAACAGATTTGAGATGAGGATTATATTTTAAGGACAGATGTGCTGCAGGCAACTGGGAGTGACTGGAGCTCCAAAGAACGTCAGGGAGAGCCATACACCCTCGCCTAATAGATCACAAGTCTTTAGTTCTGCATTAAGAAATGACTCCTCCGGACGCTCCATTCAAGACAATTAGAACTCTAATCCAAAGAGCAGAAGACAACTCATTTCTTCTTTTGTAATTTGCCTGGACATGTTTTCACTTTATCAATTTGTAGAGTCGTATTTATTAGCCATTGGGTAAGGGACATTTATTTATTGTAGTTGCCAACAAGCTATAATTGTTTACAATACAGTCTATAGTTCATTCTTGGTCTTTTATGACATTTATTTACTTATTTAAGTGGCCTAGCCTTTCCTTTATGGCCTCTAGACCATATCTTGCTTGGGAAAGTCTCCTCACCACGAAGGATATAAAAATATTTTCTTAAATTTCATTCCAACATTTTCATCGTTATATTTCACTTTTACCCATTTAAAGTCAGGCAGAATTTATCATGTATGTGGTTGAGGTTAAAGTGTAGGTTTCCTTCCAGATGAATTCTCAACCTTATGAACATTACTCTTTCCCATGGAATACCACTGACTTTTATATATACATATACTTCACTATTTGATGGAAGTTTCTTATATTTATAAGAAATATATTTTGTAAGATAAGTCTATACCCAATCATTTTTCTTTTTAAAAATAATTTGACTGTTTTTCAAACACTTATTCTTCTATACACAAGACCCTCATTCTGAAAGTTTTGTCCGTGACTGACAATCCTATTCCAATGCCAAAATTTTAATTATTGCAGTTTACATTTAATATCTAAGCACTATCTCATTACTCCCATTTCTTAAGGTTTTCTTGCCTGCTTTTTCCTGTCATCTTTAAAAATATTTTCTTAAATATTCCCCGATCTCATTTGTAAAATTGCTTTTAACTGCTGGCATGATGCTTGAAATGTTCTGTATTGTGATCCAGGTGATGGTTACTCAGGTGTAGATATATTTAGAAGCCGCACACTTAAGATTTGTTCATTTTGCT